GCCACAGTAGTAGCCAACAGATATTGGAACAAACTAATGATTTCAACCTATTTAGAGAGATTTAATAGGTTAATTTAAAGAACTATAATGCAAGTTTCACCGTGGAATTGTTGCAAATGTTGATCACAGTTGACGAAATAATTTAGGTACCTAACGAAATATTGTTTTTGAACGACAGTAAAATTATAATTGTATAGAAAAAGGCGGATGAAAACAGATGCAACATGGAAACTCGGATACTTATTTTTAAGGAACTATTGCTAGGATGGTTAATCCAGAGGCTATTTAAAATAAACTAATAAACTGTACTTTAGGAAATTAAAAAATTGTGCAAGAAAGTATTTGAAACAAAGTACACATATAATCTTATATGTTTTAAACTAGGTGATTTTATCTATGAGTGTGATTTTTTTTTTAAATTTGTTTCTTAATCGTAAAAGAAAACCATTTAATATAAAAAAAAAATTGAAAAGGTAGGCACCCCACAAAAATTTCGTGCTAAATTGATTTATTGTGGAGAAAAAACATGCGTTTGTTAAAGCATAAATTGAAAAAAAATTCTAAATAAAAAATAAATCTATGACAACTAAAAATGTAAAAAAAAGGATGCAGTAGAATTATCAGAAAAAGTACCTAATTTTTTTGATGAAACATTCGGTGGCCAATGTGTCTCTGGTGCAGAAGAGTAGACTGTATCAATTTTCTGTTTTCAAAATGTATATACATTGAGATTGTTTAGTTACACAAAGTGTCCCCCTAGATTTCAAATGGCAATTTTATGCAATTAAAGGGATCTGTAAAATACACAGAGACCTATTTTGGGTAATTTTCTCAAAATATTATTTTTTAAATAGCTGCATATTTTTTTTAGTTGATGAATAAACATACGTGGACTGTCGAGACCAAACAATCAGTAAATTTCCCCATCAATAAGCATTAGACTATGACTAATCAGTAGGCAAACACGAATTTTTGAGCAAATCGCATTTAATAACGACCAAACATATTCAACAGTTTGCATCAATGTTTGGCAAAAACATTGGCCATTGTGTTTGGACTCCATTATTATGATTTGAAAAGTATATGAAGATGAATATATCAGTGAAACTCAAATTAAAATGTTGTTTGGTAAGAGCACAAAATTTGGATTAAAATTACGACAATTCTCATAATTTTCTTCAACCAGACGGGTGTTGTTCACCAATAATAAACTTTAGGATTGAGCATATTAAAGTGATATAAATACCCCAAGTCCTCTGATAAAAGAGAATAGCATTTTTAGTTACAGTTTGCAGGTGTCTTCTTATTTCAGTTGAGCTTTGTTGTTGCTTAGCAGCGTAAAATTTATTAAGGTGCGTTTACACGAATACAAGAAGTTACTTTGAAAAAATTAAGATTACTTGTGGTATTTCCGAGACTTTAGCTATATTATGGAGCAATTTGTGGTAACACAACAACAGGGTGCTTCAAGATTCCTGGCAAATGATCTGAACTTTTCAGTTTCTTGTGATCCCCTACAGTTATAACCAAATTCTCTGAGACTTCTGTCAACTGTTGTAACAATTTAACATTTTGAGAAATTATAAATGTAGGAAATGAACCAACCTAACAAAAAAATACAAATATTTTACATGTTTGTTAAACTGCGAAAGTGGAATCGAATGTTTACTTTGGATCACCCGAATAATCTAGAAATTTTCATTTATTACAGTTTCCCGTATCACATATAAAATAGTTCAGAGTAAAAATATCAATAAACTTGATAATATTGACAACTATATTTTTAAACAAAGCTGTTTTTATACAGGGTGTTAAAAAAAAAAGTGTCACAAAATAAAACGGGGGGTAGTATGGGCCAAAATATGCAGAAAAGTCTTAATAAACATATGTCCGCAAATGAATGGTTTCAGAGATACGGAGTGTTTTGTGTTTTGTATCATTTTTTGATTATCTTTTTTCATTCTCAAAAACTTGCTTTTCTTATCGGAGTCTACCGATGTTTTTTCATAGATACTATTTGCAGTTATTATTTTGTTGTGGGTGAATAATTTTATAAATTTTCGTTATGCCTGTTTACACTAATATTGAATTAGCTGACATGCATTTTATGTACGGTCGTTCAAATGGCAATGCATTGAAATGGAGGGAGGGCACTTTGAACATCTCATTTAACTCTATGTTGTTATTGATTGTTTATAAATATCATTGTTTTTTTATATTAATAAAAAATTGTTATAAACACAAAATGGTCCGTATCTCCGAAACCGTTAATTTGCGGTCATATATTTATTAAGACTTTTCTGCTTATTTTGGGTCATACTATTCACCATTTCATTTTGTGACACTTTTTTTTAACACCCTGTATATAATACAACTCTTGGTATCGGAACTATCAATAATCGCCTAACGTGTAGCCAAATAGTGATTTTAACGATACATTCATGCTTTAGCTTATGCGATTATCGATAATCCCAATACCAAGAGTTGTATTCAATAGATTATATCATGAATTACTGTATCGGATGACCGATTTCATAATTTACATTTACAATACAAAACAAGCGATATAACAAGCTTACCTACATGATCTTTATAGCATTAAATTAAATGGATATAGTAAAGAATCAAGACCATAACGGAGTTATGTTAAAGAAAATATTTGAAAAATGTTTGTTATAAAACAGGAATGGGGGTTACCTAAAAATCTAGGCCTAACCCTCTGGACAACAAACTTCTCTGGAACACACATGAAAAGGAAGTAATAAGTAAGGCCACAAAAGCCCTAATAGTACGCAGAAACATTGCAGGTAAACGATGGGGATGTAACCCAAACATACTGCGATGGATGTATACTGCAATAGTGATACCAATCATCACTTAAAGGGCTATAGCCTGGAGTAACAGAACTAGTTTAGCTACTACGAGAGCTAATATCTCAAAAGTAAAAAGACTAGCCTGTGTTTGCATTACTGATGCAATGAGAACCTGTCCTATGGTCGCAATGGAGGTGATCTTAAACCTCGCCTCTCTACATTTGGTGATAGAGAATGTGGCAAAAAGGACACGATATAGAATGATCAGAAACGGAGTAATCAGACGAAAGGAAAGGAGTTCAAACACCCTTTGTAGGACCTGAGCCGTTCTGTGGTATCAGCAGTAACATAATATTAGGAGAGATTAACAAAGAATTGGGCAGTAGAAGAACCGATAATTGGAACAATCTCTTGAGGCTGAGACAGGCCAAGATACTTCTGGGTGAATATAACCAGAAAAGATCGGAAGCCTGCTTCTGCCTGAGCAAGAACAGGGGTCCTTACCGGGCATTGCCGACTAAAAGGACACTTAAGTAAACTGAGAGTAGTAGAGGATAGTGAGTGTAGATTCTGTAAGGAGGAGGACGAAACCTCCATTCACATCCTAATTGAATCTGTAGCACTCCAGAATCCAAGGGCACTATCTAGGGGGATATCAAATAGAAGAGGGAGATTTACCTAACTTGAAGCCACTTCAAATCCTACACTTCCTTGAGAAAATAGGATTAGAAGGGTCGTTATAGGCATTGAGACATTTCCTTGGTGCATTGGCGACAGAAGGGGACACAATAGATCTTTTAGGTCGCAGTGTATTAATACCCCATTCCCAACATACCATACCTAAAAATTGCATAGCTCTTGAGGACACTAGATCAAAAAATGTACCAAGTATAATTAATAACTATTAGTCAAGTATATGATTGATAATCAATTATTAATCAACTAAAAGTATAGGAAATTATTACATTTTGACTAATATAATCAAGGGTAATACCACAAGAGGTGAGAATTTTTGAAAACATTTTTTTTTTTCTTAGTTATGCGTCTTAATTTCACGAAACAAAATCCTTAAAATACCACGAGATGTCAGTCGAGTGGCAAGATTTGGTTGGGCGAAATTTGCATAATTTGTAAGAAAATAATAAAATGGGTTACTTTTATAAACATCTGCTTTGTTCCCGTAAAATGTATTTAAAATGTAAAATTTCTACAACCAAAACGATTTTTGTCAATTTTTAGTCTCCTTTTTGACAAACTGATGTTTCACATTGATGTTTCATATAAATCATATTAATTGAGGCATTAAATTACCACTTACCTAAAATGACTATTAAATATCTTAATTATTTAAAAGACACCGAAATGACCATTAAATAACTTAAATGTTACCATATTATTATTTTTAAATTATCTATTATACTTCTGTTAAATAATTTACTGTAAAACTGCAGTTATTTAACTTTTAAATTACCAAATCCAATCAGAATTGAGTGAAAACACTGGAGGATGCAGTGTTTTTAGATACAGTTAGTTTCAATTGGCGTGTGTTGGATAAAAGATGATTCGTCATTGATGTATTACAGTGTTAAATAATCTACACAATTGAAAAACGAAGGGCTGATACCATTCCTTAGTATTACAAACGTGATCCATGAGCTTTATTAGATATGGCTTGTAGAGTGATGGGTTGCAGTAGAAGGTGACTACATTATTGTCCCATTAATTTTAAATGCACCCCACTTTTAATGTAATTTCTTATTATTATATATTTGTATACTTTTTCCCTATTAAAATTGCCACTTGAAAACATATTTGCAACGTACCTTTCCATAAATATGCGTAAAATAAACAATAAATGATCACACGTCTACCGGAAAAAAGTGCAAATTTCATGCAAACATGATTGATGGTCTTTTTGATGTTAAATTATAGTGAAATAAAATATTTACAGAAAAATAAATTGGCAGCAAAGTTGAAAACAGAAAATATTCAAATATGCAAGACATCCATGAAAATATGTACATTTAATGAACATTTTTTTAATGTAAATGTATGTACAAAATAAAAAAAAAATAAATAAAAATGTGCAAAATCAGTGAATTTTTCTATCTATACACTTTAAAAACTCATGTGTGTAATAATGTACTAGAAGCATCAAAGCAATTTTAAGCATATAACACCACTTACCTCTTCTTTCGTTGTAAATAAAGTTTTTACTTGATCTGTTATTATTGGTAATAAAATTTTCCGACACTCTGGATATAGGAACAATTTGCTATGGATAATTTCATTGATTGTCATCATTTTCTGCTTCGTTAGACGTCCGAGGGGCATATTGTTTAACATATCATACAAAATAGTACTGAAAATTGATATTTTTTATTATAACTATTTGTTTAAAGCACCCCACACTCTCCAGCTGGACATTATTTTTTCCAGTCTTACCTTAACTCCCTATGGCCGAAAACAAGCAGCATATCAGGTATACTGCTGGGTAAATATTTAAGGCACGCTCCTTGTTCCCTAATTAAACTTTCATTACTGGAAGACATCATATAAATGATATTTTGTAAGAGATCTCGCATACTCTCATCGAAATCGTCTTCGGAATCGTGTTCCGGGTACAATTCCTTGTACAGGATTCTACTCCTGGCTATGAATTTCATAAAATATTGCAGGCACTTCATGGTTTTAAATATGACATCCTTCGAGCTCATTGTGGCGTCACTGGCACGACCCACAACCGTTTTTAAAACCGATATAAGTTTTCTAAAAAAGAACAACTCCATGTACGATTGCAGTAACCAAGAGGCAATTGAATGATAATCCAATCGTATCTTGATTAGTAAATATTTCAGTAAGAACCACTTGCTTGCAAGTAAAATCGCAATGTTGCCAGATCTGTTCGAATGTACTGTGGTTGGTTCATTTGATAGTGTGTTGTTGAAGTTGAGGATATAATTATTACATTTTAAATTTTATTTTACAAAATAATTGTGATTTTTTAATAGATTTGCATTATTTGTGTTTTAAATCTAACATTTATTTATAAAACAAAAGAAGCAATTTTTTTAAAATGATTCGAGAATCAATTACTTATAAATTTGACTAACCCTCCAACAAGTGTCTTGGACATTGCTTCCTATCACAGCACATTTCTTTTTAAAACGCTCAATAATTCCTGGGCAAAACCTGAAATTCAGGATTGACTGACGACACACGACATTCAATTTGATCAGAATATGTACAAACAAGATTTATTGAACACAGTTTTCAGAAATAAATCACTAAAAATGTATAAAGTATATCAACTTGCAGAACAATATGGCCACACAGTTCGGTTATCTCCTTATCATTGTACATTTAACCCAATTGAAATAATATGGGATAATGCTAAAATTTATTATAACCGACATATTGGCATATTTATTGATTTTAATGACGATAGCAATGGTGACTCTTATTCTGAATAAAGCTTTACTTGTTGATTATTTTTATTCTATTTAGTTATATTGGAAGAACTACTTCAGAAAGCTTCTAAAATTGTATTAATAGGTTTAATGAATTAGTTATTTAAAGTGTCAAAAGATGGAATTCAAATTAAACGTTAGTTTTTTATAAAATGTCTCTTGAGATCCTCAAATTTTGTAGCAAAATGGCTTGGAAACGTCTACTTTCTTGAGTTTATGACCTGCATTGGAAATTTCATTGCATTTGCTATAACTGTATATGGCCTATATATTTTCGAATGCTTAATGTATCTTAAAAAAAAAGACACTTTTGAAAGTAACTATAACACTAGAAAAAAATCACCTGGATTATCCATATCACAAATTAAAAATCACTGAAAGATCTCTGGAATGTCAACGAGAACAATAAATAGCATGCCAGATTTAAATCACATGGCTATTTGGCTCCTACCCCCGTTTAGACCAGATCACTTTATACTTTATCAGACTATGTAGTTTTGAATTGAAAAATTTGAATTGCCATATTTTTTATTAATAAAAAGATTGAAAATCAATATACCCTATTTTCATATTTCTCTACTTTAAATAATGGCAAAACTAATCACTTGTATGGCCTAGATCCTAAAAGTATTTCTTGTCTTCCAGGGACTCTAACATAAACTTTTTTGACACTGACTGACTTCAAAAAAAAAAAAGCTAATGGTACGAAAAATAATTATCAATAATGTATGTTATATTTATTTCAATGGTATGTTCATTTGCTTGTTATATCGCCGAATCTTTTTATTTAATTTAAATGGTGTACCTGTTTAGTGACTTAAGTTGGTGAACTTTTTGCAATGAATTGGTGAAGTTTAATACAAACAGCAATGTTTCTTGCATTCAGTAAGAATTGCTGCACTTTTACTTGCAGCAAGGAAGATTGCGAACACTAAGTGGCTTTAAGAACTACGTGCTGATCTTCTAATAAAAAATAGCTTTAAATATTTAATTTAAACTTACTTATAAGCTAATGTAGCGCTAAAGCTTTCTTTGATATACAAATCTAGGACGGGTTCGAAATGCTGATATTTCCAGTCGTTGCTAACTAAACTAATTATTTCCAATAAACATTCAAAAACTAGAGTATCATAAGTATCAGTCTCCGGGTTGTCCATTAAAATGTTGAATAAGGCGTCCAAAATGTCTTGGAGGAATTTTACAACTTCCTCGCCGTCCACTTTACCCAAAGCCCTAAGCGATTCCAAGAGTGTCTCTTTGTGTGAAGCCCAGTTTAAAAGACCCAACAATTTGACTGCAAACGAAGATATAAGTTTATTAAAAATGTATATACAGGATGGACCAATCTTGTGGAAAAGTTCGATGTCTTCCTTGTTGAAAGAGATATTAAAAAAGTGTATTAAGAAAATTATGGACATGTTTGAGGTTAACATTTTAAAATTATTGGGAGGTATACAGAGTGTTGCATAGCTCGTGTACGAACCAAACATATGTTTTTTTTTTAATATATTATTTTAGATTCTGTTTACTCATCTTTTTTCCATTCTTCTAATATATATGGTTTGTCTATGTTATATAGGGTACTTTTCAAGGAATTGACATTTTTGTGAGAGAATCGTACATAATTCAACGTCCAGCAGCCAATTACACAGTGTAGAAAAAAAATTTTTTTTACCCACACGAATTTTATAATATGATGTATTATACTTTTTTTTAGTTATATTTTTATTATCTGTTTATTTGTATACAGGGAGACTCAATACTCAGACCCTTGATTTTCTTGTTTTATTTAAATGGGACTCCCTATATTTTATATCACCAGTAAAATCATCTCTTCCAAGCTTTTCATTTTTATAAAGCATTCTAAAGTTAATATTTATCGATATTTTTTAACAATAAATGAAAATTATGGTTATTTCGATAAATTAAACTAGTTTTTCATAAAATACTCTTTATAAACAATAATAAATAATATGTGTTATTTTTTATTATTATATATAATTGTCAGTTGACAATTTTGACATTTTAAAAATCAAGAGCAACTGCCTGTGTGTTAATGTTTTAAGTAAATTACTAATAATAAGGTGAACAATACGAATTTTTCTATCCCAGAAATGGTGGATATAATTTATATACTAGGTGAGTGCAACAAGAATTCTTTACTTGCCTCCAGAGTGTACCACCAACGATATCCGGAACGCCGGAAACCAAATAAAAAGGCGTTTGAAAAAGTAATGGACCGTTTTAATCGTACTGGTACTGTATCATACGAGCAAAAACAAGTAACAAAAACTGCTATCACGGAAGAGAATGAAATGAAAGTATTGTTGAGTATTTATGATAATCCGCATATTAATAAACGAAATATTTTAAGACAACAACAAGTCAGTTACGGAACTGTTCAAAGAATCCTATCAAAACATAAAATGTATCCCTTCCATATCCAGTTACATCAAGAACTTCTTGAACGGGATTTTGAAAATAGAGTGATATTTTGTGAATGGTCCAACAAAAAATTAATCAACAAAGAAATTTCTTTGATTTTGTGCTCTTTGGTGATGAATCGACTTTTCAAAAAAATGGAGGTTTAAATAGGCATAATTTTCACTATTATTCTACAACAAACCCACACATTATAGTCACTCATAGCCAAATGAGGTGGACATTAAAAGTTTGGGGTGGCATTGTGAGTGATTATGTGATAGAGCCACACTTTTTTTGAAGGACGAGTAAATAGTGCAGTATATTTGGATTTCCTTGAAAATCATTTGCCTACGTTACTCGAAGATGTTCCCCTTCACATTCGCCAACAAATGTGGTTTTTGCACGATGGTGCACCAGTCCATCACACTGTAGTAATTCATAATTATTTAAATAATCACTTTCCAAGACGGTGAATCGGAAGAGGAGGACCGATAGGGTGGCCAGCGCGATCACCGGATTTGACAAAAATTGATTTTTTTTTCTGTGGGGTTATGTAAAAAACAAAGTATATAATGTGCCTGCAACGACAAAAGAGGATGAAAACTCGAATCAGAAATGTATTTCAAAGTATTGATGTTCAAATGCTGAGAAATGTGAGTCAGTTATTCGAAATTCGATTACAGAACTGTATTGATGTTATGGGAGGTCACTTTGAACAACTTTTATAATTATGTTTTAATTGGTTTGTTTGTTTTTGAGTTTTTTGTATTCACACATATTATTTATGACTGTTGATAAAGAGTTTTTTTTATGAAAAGCTAGTTTAATTTATGGAAATAACTATAATTTTCATTTATTGTTAAAAAATATCGATAAATATTAACTTTAGGTATAGGGAATGCTTTATAAAAATGAAAGACTTGGAAAAGATGATTTTACTGGTGACATAAAATATAGAGTGTCCCATTTAAATAAAACAAGAAAATCAAGGGTGAGTATTGAGTCTCCCTGTATACAAATAAACAGATAATAAAAATATAACTAAAAAAAAGTATAATACATCATATTATAAAATAATTCGTGTGGGTAAAAAAAATTTTTTTTCTACAATGTGTAATTACCTGCTGGGCGTTGAATTATGTACGATTCTCTCACAAAAATGTCAATTCTTTGAAAAGTACCCTATATAACATAGACAAACCATATATTAGAAGAATGGAAAAAAGATAAATAAACAGAATCTAAAATAATATACTGGGGTTATCATTACACGAGCTATGCAACACCCTGTATACCTCGCAATAATTTTAAAATGTTAACCTTGAACATGTCCATAATTTTCTTAATACACTTTTTTAATATATCTTTCAACAAGGAAGACAAATCAGTAACAGTCATGCATGTTTTTTATCATTAATAACGGGTAAAAGCAAGAGAGGTCTCGTGTTTGAACTTTGAGGAACAATATTAAAATTTCCCACACCCTCAAAATTTTTACTTTCTAAGACAACATGTACTTACCATTTTGCGTCAACTTGGTAGAACAAATATTACTGGAAATACTAAACGAATCTTTAGTCGACATACTTAATCCGGGTATCTGGGGCTTCTCTTTGTGATTGTCTTTGACGTCCTCCATCTTAGACGGCAAAGAAAAATAGTCCAAACTGCTTTCGTCGAATTTTTTATGATCAATTTTATAAACCACGAGATTGTGTTTCGCATCTTTCAAAGTGGTACCGTCGTCTTCCATTAGTTTGACGTAGCACATGCCGAATGGTTTTTCGCTTTTGTCTTTCGCTTCGTTCGAAGATCTATGTTTAAATATGAATTTTAAATGACTAGTTTTGAATTCTTCTATAGGAATGGCTACTTTGAAGGTTTCGTGCCACTGTGGCTTGTCTTCGTGGTAATATATTACAGATCGGTATTCGTTTATTAGCGATACACCTCCACCAATGCTTATTACACCCTGAAATGTATTTTTTTATCAGTATGTTTATTAAAGACGATTCTAATAATAATTGTTTTAAATAATACATACAAGGGTTGATCCGGTTGAAGTCATTATATTGAATGTAAAGATAAAATGTATGGGCATTAATTTGATAATTTTCAATTTAACAACCATCTAGAATTTATTGTATAAAAACAAATCAAGCTATTATTCTAATACTAATGCTTGTTTAACGCGACAAGTTGACAGATCTGAACTAGTAAAAGGCTTCTTCATTTATAATGGGTATAAAATGTATAATAAATTGCCAAATGTAAAATTCACAGAAGCAATTACAACATTTAAAAGAGTACTCAGGAATCTTTTGGTAACAAAATCATATTATACATAACTTTATTCATGTAAACAATGATTTAATGGGTTAATGACCAACTAAGTGGAAAGCTTTCAAATATGATTAGTAGCAAACAACATGGCTTTCATGTTGCCAGATCAACTACGATCAATTTGATGCTCTTTACCAAGTATGTTGCTACATACTTGGTAGCTGTCATCAAGTTGATACAATTTATACGGATTTGACCAAGGCTTTTGATCGAGTTGACCACAATATTTAAAAGGGCAAATTGTATGCTCTAGGAATTTATGGACAGGCTTTGAATTGGCTAATTTATTTTACAGACCGTGTTTATTGTGTAAAAATTCAAAATCCCATTTCTAGTGAATATGCAGCGATGTCAGGGGTCCCTCAGGGATCACACTTGGGTCCATTGTTATTTAGCATTTACATTAATGATGTAGTGAAACATTTAAATGATACTGAAGTTTTAATATATGCTGATGATATCAAATTGTATAATATCGTTAAAGATTCATCTGATTGTCTTGTACTACAGAACAATTTGAACAAATACTGATTTTTGCATGGATTAATCATTAATCCCCTAAAATGTAACGTAACGTCTTTCTATACGGGGCATAATATAAACTTAATTAATCATACTTATGAGTTGCATGGAAATCGTATTAAAGTTGATAGTATAAAAGATCTTGGGGTTATAGTTCAATCGGATCAAACTTTTTCTCAGCATGTCGACTACGTTGCTGGTAAAGCCTTAAAACAGGATTCGTGAGAAGGCATTTGTCAGACTTTGTGAATTTGCATACAATTAAAATCTTATTTTATTCACTCATAATGTCAAATTTGGAATATTGTTATGTTATTTGGTCACCATATGCACAAATTCATATTGAAAAGCTTGAAAGAGTGCAACGTAGATTTTTAATGTATTGTTCTTTTAAATTGTCACTACCGTACTCTTATACAAATATGCTTGCCACAACAAATAATGAAACAGCTTTACGAAGAGAATTTATTGATTCTATTTATCTTTAAATTGGTTAATAGCCCTGTTGACTTTCCGGAACTCTTACAAAGGGTAGATTTTTATATACCACCTAGGCCGTTGCGTGATAGCTACACATTTGCTTAGAAAGCTCATAGAACTATGGCTCAGGAATTGGTATGATCAGGCTTCTGAGAAATGCTAATACATTTGTTGCAAAACAAAACATCGATATTTTTAATTCTTTCCTGAATCAAGTGAAAAGAGCTCAGAAGTAAAAAAAAATGTGTTAGGTTTACATAATGTATTTATGTATACAGGGTGTACCAATAAAAACTCCCAGGCCGGATATTTTGGTAATTAATAGAGATATTTTAATTCTGTAAAAGCCATTTCATAGAGCGCTAAGAGAGCTTCAGTTTTAGATATAAATTAATTTTAAATAGGTAAATATTTAGATGGCGCTGCGCTCAATATATTTTTTTCGATGGGAGGATCTTTCTTATATATAACGCATCTTGTAAAATATGCATTTTTAAGCAGATTTTGTTTTATAAAGTAATTCGATAAATCTAGCCATTTTTGATATACACTCTGTAAAAACACTAAAAACAGTTTCATCCTGTTTTTCAGCATTAATCATTGGATTTTAAGAAAATGCTAAAACAGGTCGATTTTTATGCAAAATTAAAAACATTTTTACAATAAAGACATCTGTCATGTGTCAACCCCCTCCCTTGCACTTCTCCAACACCATAATTTTAAATAGGTAATGTACCATGTATGGCACATCATTGAAAAGGTAATTTAATGGAGAATTCAGAAATATATCTGTATATTGCGTTACTTAAATTGTATCGCCCTCTAGCGGGATAAAAAACTACTACGTATTATAGAGTGTGGCAGTACAATTATTGAAATTGTTGTAAATTAGATCCTAGATAGTTATCTTTAACAATTATTATTAAAATAATTTTAAAATAACTAAGTTATGTTTGCTTTTTATTCTGGTTAAACACATAATCGATTATGCAAGGCCTATTAGCTCAGGTGGTAGAGTATCAAACTTTATCAACTTTGCCATTTGAGACCTTTTTATTTTATTTTTCTTGTTTAGAAAATATGAAAATTGAATAAATACGATTATTGTTAATTATTTTTTAAATACATTTTAATTATTATAATAATAACCTGGTTTTACATTTTTTGATGAAATTATTTTGTGGTCGTAGGAAAAATATTGTACATCACTTATGTGAAAAGTGATTTTCCACACTCGTAATGTAATATACTATTTTTAAATTTGGTAACCAATATGCTCTTCAAGAAAGTAATATTTTATGTGCTTCTGAACTTCGAGTTGTTATACAGAAAAGGTCTCTTGTATTCTTGTGCTGTGATTGTCGTTTATGCTTTATGAATGTGTCCAAACTCTTACATAAAATGGAGACTCTCAAATCTTAAGGAAAATAAGATTACGATCGCACAATCTCAAAATCTATGAAAGATTAATAACTGATTTTCTAACATACGTCTACTCCAATATCTTAAATTCCCAGGAAAATCTGCTGAATTGAGCTTATTAACATATGACAACTTTCTGTCTAAGGCTTTGGAGAAAGGTCTGCAGGTATATTCTGTGTATACCGACTTTTCCGAGCCCTTGATAAGGTGAACCATGATCTCGTTTCTTCTCAATTTATTTGGTATAGATGGGATGGTTTTACAGTGGCTAAGTAGTTATCTAACGAATAGGACTTAACAGGTCCGAATCATTATTCCCAAATTTTCGCAGAAACCTCGAGTGTCTCTCAAAGGTCTCACTTAGGACCGCTACCATTTAACCTGTTTATAAAAAATGATATCACAACTTGTTTTCCTGGTCCTAAAGTTCTATTGTTCCCAGATGACTTGAAGTGCTTCAAGATCATTAATGATTAAAACGACACTCAGATTTTGCAATCTGATTTAAATAAACTATCAAGTTGGTGCTCCAGTAATGGCATGAATTTAAATACTAACAAATGTCACATTATCCGATTTTATCGCAGCCATCATTTAATAATATATAATTATAGTTTATTTCATCATGTTTTGGACTCTTCCATGAACTTTAATGGCCATATCACTGCCACAGTTCAAAAATCAATGAAAATGCTGGGCTTTGTCAGGAGGACAACTCTTGATTTCATTAATTTTAACACATAAATTTTATAAAGACTAAAGACTGATCATAAATTTGTTTAATTCCGAGATTTTTCATATGAGATGCTTAAATTTAATAAAACAGTGTCAGCGTAAAATAATAAAAGATGAACTGCAGCAGCACATAATTTCTAAAAAATATTAATATTATAGAGAGTGAAATTTGTCATATTTCCAGAGCCATTTCCAGTTCAAAAAAAAAAAACGGACTACAATAAACTTTTTAATTTTATATTCAATGTTCTTTTATTAAGGTAGTTCACTCGTAAAACGGCTTTTCTTAAGAATTCAATTAAATTGAAATATAAGGTTTATGAAAGTGACGTTTACGTAACTAAAAAAAATTCGATTTTTTGACCGTCTGTGAAACGAGATATTAACAATCAAAATGTGCATAATTAACACTCTTGAAGCCTCTCATGTCACAAGCAATGCATTTATTTCAAGATATCTCAAAAACGGTTCTTACCATATTTTTTAAAAACTAATGTTAAATAAATCAAGAAGTTATTAAATTTCATAAAAAATCGCTGAATTTTTTGACCGTCTTAGTAAAAAGATATAGATTTTTAAAATAAAAATTATTTAAAGCAGTTGACGAGTAGTTTCGTAAAATTATTACAACTTGGCAACATTGTAACCACTTCACGTAACAAAGTAACACTCGATCAGCTAAGAGGTTGTTATAAACTCGCGACGTGTTCTTGAAAAATTAATTCGTCCACTGTGTTTGAGAACTGGAATCAGCGGTTCTGTTTGAACCAAAACAAACCCTTAAAATTAGTATGAGGAAGTCACAAATTTCTAAATCGTTCATATATTTGCGGGATTGCCGGATGAATTTCATTAAAATTATAACATGTCCATATATGTTTATATACATGTGTTTTGTACAGTATCTTACAAAAATTAAATTGATTAGCATTGAGAATCTCGAACTTTTAGTATTCACTATTATGCGATATTTTTATGTACGACTGTCGCGAGTGAACTACCTTAATGTAATTGTTAATAATGCATAATTATAAGTGTTTGTCTATAAGTTGTTTTTTTAGGCCTTAGCTGCCAGAGCTATTCAACCTTGTATGTTCTGTATGGGCTTTGATATTGGTTCCCAGCGCCACTTGAGGAATAGCATTGTTAATCGCATTGACAATAAAGATTAATTGGTAGACTAAGGGAGATTATGTCGAAAAATAAAGGAATTGTTGAAATATTCAGTGTGTGTGATTAGATTTAGGTTTCCTTTGGCTAAGGATACTAAGTCCATTCGCAAGCCTAACATTTTGCTTAAGGATGAACATAATTTGTGTTATATGCATTTTTTTAACATTCTTATTACATTATTTTATATTATATCTTTTTTTTATAACTGGCCTGATCTACTATATACACCGTTTATATTTACCTTTAACTAAATTTTTTTTACGGACACTTTGCGCTCACGGGTCGATCGGAGCGACTACAATAAACAAGAGGACCACGGATTGTTTGGGATGCACAATAGGGATTCTGTGTATTATAAATAGGTAAGGGGAGGATAGGAATCAACCCTCGTATTTCGTTAGAACAAGCCGATAACTTACTGGTATAGGTTGTCCTTTTTGATTACAAACCCTAACAATCACTTCCACGTTTTTATCACTTTTCTTGTTTCCTTTACTGAACTCTCCACTCAGTATCGTTAAATAGAGATCATTTCGTACATCGCCGGGAAGAATGACTTCGGGAAATCCCATTTTTCTCGCTACGGACACATTTCCCAAAACCAAATGCGGATTTTCTTCGCGTACCTTAAAATAATCCTTAAAATACAAGATATGAATAATAATGAAAAACAAAACTTACCTGCTTTAAATCTCCCCGCAAAAGTTTCATACTGACAAATAACGAATGATTTTTGCTTTCGAATTTTTCTTTGCTTATAGTTTTTCTTAATGTTTGTTCTAAATTATCTTTTTCACAACTAAAAAAATAGAGAGAAACCGGCTTAAAAAACGTTTTAAATAAAATAATAGAAAGATATCATGTATATAAAATACAGTACACACCTTATAAAAGGTATAGCAAATTCTTTTTCTAAATCCGTCTCTAATTTTCCGCTCATATAACTCGATATGTCAAATGCAGCGACGCCACACGGTCGTCTCATGTTCTCATTGTAATTTTTCTTGTGATTTGTACTAACTGAACTTCTTCTATGATCCAATTCTTTGGTATCCATTGCACCTATCCTTATAACTAGACAAACGAGGTATATCTTTTCCCGTTCTAAATCTCGTTTACCCAAATCCTAAAATTATTAATTAATACAAGTTGTTTGGCTAAAATTTCTACAGCTCTTTATAAGAAATTAATTCCGGAATTACAGACTGTGACGTTTTTATAAAAAATGCTCTCACCGTAAACATAACCCTTAAATTATGCATCTGGTCCAGGTCGCTCATCAGCCCTTCCTTGGTCCATCGTACAACGTAATTTTCAGTAAACGACCTCAATTCTTTACCGTCGTACAACGTCATAAGTAACTCTGCATCTTCAGACATTTTGAATGTAAAATTCCGAACAGCTACCAAAAATATATTTGAGTATTGCTGAATAGCTGTTTTGGGTTGGCTTTCTTTCGCCTCTTTCTGCAAATCAGAGAAATATTACAATGTATATTGCGAATTCGTCCTATCAAACAGTAATAATACTAATAATAATAAATCGTCTATTATATTCAAATACGCAGTAAACAATAATAAATTATAATAATCATATTCTTTGGCGTAAAATGCGCAAATGAAAATAAAGGTTGATTTATAAACTTGCACTGGCAGCGTAGCTGTAACCGTTTGTTTGACGTTACAGTCGGCGTTGATCTTAAAACTTTGTTAGGTTTGAATGTGCAATAGCGAAAAATGACAGTAACAAAGAATATAGATTATGCAGAACACAATTATAATGGGTTACCCCACAGTAGCCATCCTCACCATCTATTTATAAAGCCATAGTTTTTCTTGTAACAAACATTGAACATTTAGTATTTCATGTGTTAAATACCAGCAAATGCCATTCTATAAATTTTTATAGAAAACTAAACCTGTAAAGTTCGGTGGAGACTTCGGAGATTATAGGACAAGAGAAATTTTTTTAGTTGCGGGTTGTTGGTTAAGAAAAAAGTATACGAGCCATACAATGTAGAGCATCGTAATCGAATCTGCGAACATGTACAATAAATGTATACTCGTCACAATAAATATGGCATAATTTTTATTTTTTGTAGAATAATTTCAGACGGACGGAGTAATGTAAAATTATGAGGAATCGGCAGAATCTAAACGAAAACTTACAAAAAAAATTATTTAACGATTGCACAACAAATAATCCATCCGTAGTGAGATATTGTTCTCGGGAAAATAAACATTTAAAGTATTCCGGCAGTCACGTAGTATCTCTGAAATTAAATGTCTGCAATGGTATTTTGTAGGACCACATTATTGGCCCTTTTTCATTGATGGTAAAAAATATTTACTTTTATTGTTAAAATCAGGGCAATTACGTAAATATTGTTTTTATTTCATAAGAGAGAACAATACATCACAGCAGTTCATGCATTACTAAATTGGAACTTAGAATACTTGAAACTTTCTTTAAGCGAGCAAGCAGGGAGAGGTGGTAGGCGTTGTGCACTCACAGTGCCTATACCCTATGGCTCATATATTTTTTCCTAATCTTTATATTGGATATTAAATATGAATTAATTCCGGATTTTACTTTCTTAAAAATGTGCATTTTCAACAGCGCCAAAGCTATAATTTTTTCCTTAAGGGCGCAGTATCACTGTATTTTTCATATAAGAAGCAAGGGTTCACCATTTCCGATTGCATTTAAATCCCGCTAAATGTATTAAAATGAATCTTCTACCAGCTTAAAGTATAAGGTTTGGAGAATGAAATCTCCTATTTTTTATTTGTCCTGTTTATACACTGAATTTTAAAAAAAATCATAAAAAGTGATTTTAAAACCGCAGGCTAAAAAGTAGGAGATTTCATTCTACATATTTTTCCAAGTATCCCGCCAAAATATTTCTAAATTTTATTGCGTATTTTTCAAATCTAACTGGAAATACGATTAACAAATATTTGATAAATTTATTTGTCAAATTAGAGATTTTCTATGAATTCCTGTAATTGTGTATAGTTCATGTAGTTCATCTATTTTTAAGAAGATGTCACCGTAAAAAAAATCTAGCTACTCTGTTTTAGAGATGGTTTTAATAGGTAAATGATTGTTTAGAGGTACCAATTTTTGAAACAATGATACAGCTGTATGCCGTCTTTTATTGTTTCGTGATTTTCATATATATTTGTCTCGCTTTGCGTTCCAGATACAAAATTATCGATTTGTGTTCCTTGCGTATGAACAAGTATTGACCACGTTGCCAGATGTACAATAAATATCGATTTATACGATAATTTCACAATTTTTTCTCAGGCGAATTTAATTTTAAAGTGGGTGAAATGTGAAATGCGGGAGAGGAACTTTATTGCATTGAGATGTAATTTGAATCCGAATGACCTGGCATCACTGTATGGTACGCACGTAATATTTGCGGGACTTGCTTTCTTCTAATGAATGTTATTTTATCTTTATAAGGAACTTTATTTCTGAGTTAACACGTTGACTGCTATGTGTATATGTACCCTTGTGTATGTCCCATTAATGCGTAATTGTTCAATATTTTAAATTGTGTTAAAGACACGCAAACATGTTTCAAAGAAAAGTTATATGGATTTAGAAAATACATATTTTAAAAATATTTTTGGATATACAGGGTGTTATATTTTTGCCTGGCATATTTTTTAAATAGAACAACATGTATTTTATTTCAGTTTTAGAATGATTTGGTAATACTGTATTCAAGCCTAGAATGTTTAAAAAAACTATTACAGGTTTGCCAAGCAATTAAATTTTTATGAAATTAGAGAATGATATGCAGACCCCAAATTAAATTATCATAATTTGGGTAGGATTACATTAATTTCAAAATTGTTTAATATACAGACTTGTAGCACATTAAGATAACAAATAGTGTTGATAGTGCTGGATTCTTTTATACCGAGTGTTTTGAAACTTGTCTTATTTTGAGGTTTAATTTACTTAATTTTTTCAAAGGCAACATATTTTAGCATACAATTCCTTATAAATTTGCCTGTTCAACAATACCAACATGTTAGAGAATAACACCCTGCAGGTAGTTATACATATTTGATTGTTTTCAGGTTGTCAAATAATTTTAATTGACTTCATTCATTTGCTGTTATATGTAGGGTGTATCAAAGCGCGAGGTTACGATTTTTTTAATTGTTTCAATGGAATTCACTGTATTAATTAATTGGTGGTATAACATAGAGAGTATCACATTTAAAAAATTGAGAAAATCGTAACCTCAAATTTTGACACATTCTATATACAACATATCAAATGAATCAAATTGAAAATATTGTTCGACGATGTAAAAACAATCAAATATGTATAACAACCTGCAGGGTGTTTTGCTTTAAAAATGCACACTGCATATTTATGAATAATTGTTAAATATAGTCATACAACTTTTATATTATTTTTTTTTCGTATTTCCTATTATAAAACTCATGTGTTATTGACTATCATATTGGTATCGTTGGATATGTAAATTTATAAGGAATTGTATGTTTAAATAACATACAGCGTGTGGCATTTGAAAAAATTAAATAAATTTAACTTGGAATTAGCCATATTTAAGACTTGTTTTTCAAAACACTCTGTATAAAATAATCCAGTTCTATCACCACTATTCGTTAGCTTAGTATCTTATTACTATTTTTTTAAATTAAATTATAATTTAATTTAGGGTCTGCATCATTCTCTAATTTCATAAAAAAATTAATTTATTGGCAACCCTGCAATATTTGTTAATAAAGTTCTAGGGTTAAATGCAGTATTACAGCATTGCATGCAGCATTCTAAAACTGAAGTAAAATACAGGGTTTTTTATTTAAAAAAATATACCTTTTTATTTGTCAGACAAAAACGCAAAACACTGTATGTCTAAAAATATCTTTAAAATACCCATTTTTGAAATTCATATAACTTTTTATTTAGAAATTATTTACGTGTCCATAACACAAATTGAAATATTGAACAATTACGCACTAATGTATGTCCAGGGCCGACTAGAGGGGGGGGGGGTAGCCGGGACTAATTCCCGGGGCCCGGGCTTAAATGGGGGCCCGGCAGCACTGTAAGGGGGCCCGGCAAAGTTTTTTTTTTGTTCTGCATGAGAAATTCGACACAAGATGAGAGAGGGAAGTTAAGTTTAAATTAATTAAAAGTTTTAGCCTAGAGAAGTTTTATTCGGGTGAGGACTTTTTTTTTGTTTAGAAGAAGAAGTAATTGAAAGGGAGAATAGTTTTTGATGTAAAGACCTTTTAAATTCTATTTCAGTAGAAGAGGAACAGTTTTTGGTTAAAGATTTTTTTGTCACATGGCCCGATCTAGCGAATTGTCCTGGGGCCCGGCCTGGCTCTCGGCGGCCCTGTGTATGTCCTGAATATATTATTAACAATATATGCACGCCACATATGTTTGTAATAATTTAATCCCGCGCCGCGTGTATGTATTTTATTCGCGCATCTATTAGATATTGTAGTTTACCTAAGTATTTACTTAAACTACTTAAAACGTAAAAACAGACTTAAATTTTTAGAAAAACTACTTCGGCTCAGCAGACCCGACCACAACATTTGCTTCGGCAGACAACGTGTTTTAAATGCTTTTTTATTTATTTGTTGTTTAATGTGTATTTGGTTATTAATATTTCAAAAATGCTTATTTTTCTTATTGATTAATCTAAAATGAACACGTAATTTTTATTAATAATTGAAAATAGTACTGTAATTCTAAATTGATAAAAAAAAATTATAATAAAAACTTAATATGAAAACATAAATTACGACTCTACAAATGAAGTAAATTTTTATAATTAATTTCTCTTTTCTTACAAAAACATTATCTCAGCAATATGTCATAAGTTGCATACACACAGTATGTCTATGTAAGTTGACAGCATATAGAAAACTTTTTTTATTATTCATTTTATGTAAAAGTTATTCTTTATAAAAATGTATGCATGGTCTAACAGAAAATGCAACCACCCGATATCAAATTTTATCAGTCGGTTTTACAAGGTTTGTCAAAAAATTTATTTTCGACAAACCCTATATACGACTGATAAAATTTGATATCAGATGTTTGAATTTTAGGTTTTAGACCATGCATAACTTTTTATGTAAAGTAACTTTTTTTCTAAAATTAATAGACCATTCAATTGTTTATGACAAATAAGATTTTTTCTTAAAATTCTTAAAAAAGTTTTCCGTATGCCGCCAAGTTACACAAACATACTACATATAAATGAGATTAAATTTGTTGAAAATAATTTTTACTGATGCAGATCTATATAAAGTATTGTGGGTAAATACGGTAATAAAAACACTTTTTTATTAAATTTTTCATTTTTTTTATTTGATTCATTGGCTGCAAGACCTTTCGGTATATACAGGGTATTCCATTAAGAATGGAAGCAACTGAAGATTAACTGATCAGAAATAAGCCGATTAAACGAAACATCCGTAGGTAAAACATTACTCGAAAATCAAAAATTATAAACAGCTACAATTTTTTTTGTTATTCAGTTTAATTTTACTAAATTCGGCAAACGTTATTGGTGTAATAAAATACACCTATCAGCAAAAAAAATAAGTTAAATAAGCTTTGCCAGTGGCATACTTCATGGGCAAGTAACACCTTTTTCCCTTCTAAATTTTAGTCCACTGTCCAAAATTTTGATTTTTTTTTATTAAATTTCTAAAAAGAGTACATTATTTATTTGAAAAACATCAAAAAATTTAAAATTTTATGTCTAAATAACTTTTTGGATAGTGACGTAAAATTTAGAAGGGATGCCGTATTACGTACCAATGCTGTACGCCTCTGGAAAAGTTAATTAAAGCAGGTAACTAATTTGCTGATAGGTGGATATTATAACATCAAAACCGTTTGCCAAATTTAGTAAAATTCTTGTGAGTAATAAAAAAATATAGCCATAAATATTTTTTGGATTTTAACACCGTAATTCGGAAACGAGAAACATTTTATCTAAACATGATTTGTTTAGGACCGATTCCACCGTTGTGTTAAACAGAGTTTAAAATGATATTTTTACATTAACAATGTCATTTTAATCTCCGTTTAACACAACGGTGGAATCGGTCCTTAGTTGTCTTATTTTATTCAGAGAATCGTCAGTTGTTCTATGTCCCATTCTTAACGAAACACCATGTATGGTATAATAGGTCCCTACGTAATGATACGAAGACCTTTATCCTTTGTTGACTGGACACAAGAATGAACTACTAAGTAAATATACCGATATTCCGAATGTAATCCAAAATATTATTTTTATACCTGCTACATCGAAAATATTTGCAAGGTCAAGAACTCGTTTACGTATCATCGCGTAGTGGCTAGGGGTGATGAATTTGTTATTTTATAACAATTACCGTTTAAAATTAATAAAATTATTACGCCATCTGTTGAACAAAAGAACTATTAAATATGGAATATTGCTCCATCTGTTGAACAAAAGGATTCTTAATTTATGACATATAAATGACATCTATCAAAATTAGTTCATGTTACGAATATTGGGGGTGGTACTGTGGCCTTAAGAGCAAACCGGACCTCTCGTGAAAGAAAAAATGTTTTAAGGGTTTTTTTAACATAAAATTGTATTTATTTGCGTGCCGCTGGGAATACTTCGTGATATTATGTGTCTTGACAATATTGAGAGCTTTAATTTTGTGTAACGATAAGGTAGCACTCTACAGACACGTTTAAGAAAAAAAGGTGGGAAATCATCCCATTTAAAAACTACTAGATATTTATTAAAACAAAAAGCAGTAAATTCTTATAGATTTAATACAGAATGGCGCGTAAATGTTTTTAAATTTCTATTTTTCAAAATAAATACTTTTCGAAGGTTTACAAAAAATTCAAGATTTGTCCACCCTAAGTTTCGTTATTATTGGTATTTCCCGAAAATTTCACAAAAATCGGACTAAAAGTAAAGGCTCAGAATGAATTATAAATTTTCGAGGTATTCGGTTTGATCTTAAGAGAGGCTAAAGCCCTTAATAATAATTAATCATTCATCTTCTAGATTCAAAAATTAGGTAAAAGTTATTTACTGGTAATGGTATAGGAGAGCCACAAATCGATTGATTTATTAATCTACTAATACTATAATTAAACAAAAAAATTACATAAGTATTTGTACCCCACCTTTTGACAATTACTACTTATTGTTCATTTGAACTGCTATTACATCAGATAAACCCACTAAAAATCACATCTAATTGACCCTCGCGGAACTCTGTGTTTAAAAATTTAACCTTGACATTAATACCGATTAAAATTGAATGTTTACTTACTTTTGACCTGTTAGTCATCCTTTGGGTTGCATTTTTGTGGAGATAGTACAGCTGGAGCGTGCTCGTTTCTTTGGGATTTATGAAATTGCCGTTTTTGTCCCTTACAACTAAATCTAAACCTAAAATTTGATTACCGATGTCTATTTCTTCGACCGCTTGCTTCGTTACTCGTTTTAGTTCGTCGACGGGCAGAGTGCCGCTTATTATTTTGCTTCGATGGGATAGGAGATCATATATTTGGGTTTTCATCGGTTCGAAATCTTTATTGTGCGTCTGAAATAAAGTAAATTTCATTGTTATTTATTTATAAAGGTTTGGGCAAGCAGTTAAATCGATGCAGCAGACTTAGTCGGTATTTTATTATGGTAATCTAAATTCACAGCTCATATTATTACACAATATAAAGCACAAGTATGTAAATGTTTCATCAAATTCTCTACCGTCTTGTAGAAACTAATTTTTATAAATGATATAATTGCTAATATCGAGCATATTAAAGTTTTAATGTATGCTGACGACCTAAAATTATCAATTTTGTTAACCATTGTTTGCGATTTCAAAAGTGTTTGTCTGACATTGCGAAGTGATTTCTCGATAATTCACTCCCTCTAAATCCTGAGAAATGTTCCGTAATGTATTTTACTAAAAAAAGTAACACCTATACTTTTTGATTATAAACCACAGTACGTTGTTCTAAATCGACCCGAATTTACATGAGATCTCGGAGTTTATGTTGATCCTGAACTAACTTTCGTTAAACACATTGAAATCATGTTACCTGATGCTAACAGGAGCTTAGGGATTGTTATACGAAGCTGTAAATAATTCCGAGACATATTCACCTTAAAAATTCTGTATATTATTAGCTTTGTACGGTCAAAACTTGAATACTGTTCCGTTGTTCGGAATCCCATGCATAACATTTATACTGACTTACTCGAAAAAGTTCAAAGAAAATTCAAGAAATCGACTTCCTACGTTTTAAATGATATATACCCTACAAGGGGATATTCCCACGATTTACTAATATATTTAGATTCAATCTTTAAGAGCCAGTGATACACAGAAATTTCCAACAGGTACTCCTACTTTATAATCTTTTAAATGGCTCAATCGACACTACTGATTTGTTAAATTATGTTAATCTAAAAATCCCCCGTGCTGGTTTAAGAGTTTACTCGAGTTTCTACATGCCAGCTTCTAGAAATAATGTTTTGAACTCATCTCCAATGTACCAATCTATTCAGAAATATCATGAAATTCAAGACAGTTTGGATATTTTTGCATGTAACAAATATATGAGTAAAAATGTTTTTTCTTTAACATTGTAAAAAAAATGATATAAAGCATGTAATGCAATGTAGACAACCATTTTTTTTATCATGTGTTCGATCAGTTTTTTTTTCCTGGATGTTTACATTGTATTCTATAGCTTTTTAACAATTTTGTATTTGTATTATTATTCTAATGTTTTGTCTTTCCCACCCAGTAAATAGTGATTACTGTTGGATGGTGTAACAAATCAATAAATAAACTGTTTATTCTTGTACACCCCTTTGTTTGTATTGAAATTTTTTCAAAATTCTGAGCATAAAGTGTTATAACTTACTAATCAATCTCCTTTGTAAAACTTTGTCAAATGCTATTTCCTAATCTAGAAAGATTACATCAACAGGGTGATTATTGTATTTGAGGTATTTGAAGACATTTGCAAATTTCAAATTTTGAAGATAACTCAAAAACCGATAAAGATGAATACACCAAATTTTAAAACTTAAGTTTTAATCCATAGTGTGGTGAGCTGATTAAATTTTGGACATACTCGAAACATTTTATAAGTATTTTATAAGGTGTAATTTTTTTACTTTAGGGAATATCTGTTATTTACGATTGAAGAAAATTCTTTAAATAAAAGTTGTTTTCTAAAATTTTTGTTCTATACATATTTCTCTAAAATCGACAGTAATTTAAGGAAAAGTGCAAAATTTTAATTTTTCAGCATTTTCGTTGGCAATGATATATAAAAAAATGTTTCGAGTAAGATGTGTGTGGAAAATGTATCCATTTAGTTCATCCTCTAAAGTCTACACATTTACAACGGTGATACGTACAAAATAACCGAAAAAAGCCTATAATAACTAGACAGCAATGTCATGTGTTGAATACATCAGATTTTTATATTGGTAGTCATTTTAATTAAGTCAGAAAAAAATTCCGATTCCATCGTATTTAAATCCGACAACCGGGGGTTGATAATTAATTTAAATAATTCTTATATACTATATATTATATTCAAATTTTTATTTCGAATTCAAACAACAGCCCAGCATCTCCCGACTACTAGGCGCCGTTTAATTACTTCTGGGGAAAAAAATCGGCGTGTTAACTGTAACGGCCGCTAGAATACACCAGATGTAAAACGTTAGGGCTATATTCAGGAATTAATACAAAGCTTTATGCACCGAATCCACAGTCGTTCTCTTTCCGATACGTTTGCATATATGGGAAATTTAAGTATAAACACCACGGTTCTTGTGGGCTGGGGTATTAGCTTTTTAATCTTCACGGAGTCAAGTTAACAAAAAACGCAAATATCCACGTTACCGCTACGGTGACTACTTTTTCTTTATATTCTTCAAATATAATTAAAAAGAGATATCGCTACCCTTACGGTGGCCGCGCTTTTGTTATATTTTGAGAACGGAAATAAAAGATATAGACGGAGTAGAGAAATTAGTTTCTATAAACGACGGCTTCTGCATAGATATCCAGTTGTCCTTAGGATGACCACCTTTTTCTTATATTTTATATATAAGTAAAAAGAGATATATAGGCAGGTTGACCAAGCAGATACACGTTGAATAGAACCATATTTCGTTCCTAGAACTGTTTTGTAAGGTTGTATCTACCGAACGACTAAAAGATGGCGCAACTGATACTGGTGAGACCACGCTAGTATAGTTAAACGTCAGATATTTTATATCTCCGATTCAACATTATAAAGTGTTACTAAATGATTAAAAGTACTACTCTAGGCGACGTTCGTAGTGGATTTCGTCACCATTAAGGCTGACCCGACGAACTTGCGCCAGGTAGACGCTTTTATCAGCAGTATACTTTTTTCTGTAAGGTTTCTTTTACGTAGAATTAAACGATAATCGCACTATTAAAGTAATAAAACTAGTATTTAATATTCATACACTCCGGGGGAGAGTTTAGACTAACATTGATGGGATACAGGTATCACTTTATTACTTTTATATTCATTAGCGGGAAAATTCGCGTCTGTGTGTTATTATCATATTTTTAGTATTCATTGATAAATGTTTATTGTGGGAAAAATTATAGGGTTTTTATATTGTGCTAAATTATACTATTTAGAGAATCGATAGTAATGTTGTAATAAATATTAATTGTTGTAAAGTCGGTCAATACTCTCAAGTAATAAATTAAGTCATTTAGATTTATGGCCAAAGGGCCGAACTGTAAAGTTTTGGTTGTCTGTAAACAGTACTGCCCCTCTCAGTAAAGTAGAAACGCACTTTCGGTTTTACTTTTAAATGGCAAACAGATGTAGATCAGTAGGGTAAAAACATTTATTTGTGTATATTTTAAAGTTAGATTGCGGTATAAAAAATGTTTCTGTCGTTCTTTGTAAAACAAAATTGGGTAGACAAAAGTGTCATTTTAGCCGTAAGGGGTGTTAGTTTTGTATATTGATTTTTCTGGAAAAAGGGGATATGTATAGCGGCGGGTAGAATCGTGAATATTGAGGAGGATCGTTATTTATTTGTACATATCCACATACCTTTAGCGGGACATTACGAGGGAGTAATCGGTGTTTGTTATTTATTTAGAATAAATAGGTGAAATTGTGTTTGTGGACTACCTAACGTATCCTCAGAACTGTGATTAATAACAATGATTTGTCGATCGACAGAGCAAAAGAGGATAACGCCGAAAAAGAGCCTTAGGCCACCATAGACCGCCAGGGACCTCAATAGTAAGGGCCTAAAAATGGTATTTCCCTTGCGGCTATGTAAATTAAAGCCTGATAGAGGCAGGATGGATCTCTACTGAGATACCCCAAAAGTGGGACTGACGGGCGTCTCCCTTTATATCAGGTGTTCTACGATCGATCCTTTTATTGTTTTCCTTACAGAACTGACGTATGTCAGTACATTACGGCATTGGAATATTAGTGAGAGGCGTGACGCACGGTGAGGTTAATCAACACTTCGGTTTTTACACATATTACATATTTTATTCTATACATCGCGGAACTCTGCGTGCTACCGCTGTATTCTCTTTTATTAGACAATGCGTAATTCAGTATTTCCGTGGAAAGGTGTGATTGTATATTAGGAGACAAACAAATATACCAAAGTACTTCCGACTTTTATTTTACCCTTTTATGTCAACTAAAAGCTCTGAGGTTAGAAATGACACATTCGAAAGCCTTCATAACACATACTTTGATTACTATACGGTGCAAGAGAGAGGTCCGACACGCCCAACATAGGTGCGTTTTAATCATCCGCTTCTGCTTCCGGAATTGTCGGTTTAGTCGTTTTAACCTGTCAGATTAAAACAAGAATATTGCGCCAAGATGTAGGCAACACGTAATAAGGGATCAAAATGGCGGAGTTTTCTATCTTCTTTTAAAAGGCACTCAGAAAGCTGCGCAGTGCGACCATTCTCCGTATAGTAAAAGAAAATCAAAGTATGTGCTACATAAACATAATGTTAATATATTTGTTTGCGCAACGGGTAAGTAAAACATGTTATGTAACCTTGTTGGAACCCTGGGTACATGAAAGTTTACTAACGAAAGTAGATGTGGCGAATCAATTTGATTATTTAGTAGTTTAAATAAAAATGCAACACTGCTATATATCCAACGTAATTGCAAAGACTTAACATTGAACCTCTGAAGTAGTATTTCTTGATTAATACCGCGTACTGGATATACATTATCTATTCTATAACAGAGTGTTTTGAGAAAATGTCGCTGTACAGATTCGATGTTATTAATGTGTACAGGACACCAACATATGGAAGCATATTCAAGCTTCGATCTTACAAACGCATCAAATAGAAGTTGGAGGGTTTTGCTTTCTACAAATAATTTAGAATTCCTGGTTAAAAAACCGAGGGTCTTATACGCTGATGAGACAATGGTATATCGATATGCTCAATAAACGTTAATTTATTGAAAAAAATTTTGCCAAGGAATTAATTACGTCTACAGAATTTGACATGTTCACACCTTGATAACTCATTGATTTTGGTAAACTTGATTCATTACGCAAGGTATTTAAGCAAGACCAAAATTGATTAGGATTATCAGATAAATTTCTTACATTTTTTACAAAATTAGACCGTGAGCTTGATATTTTTTACCTCCCTGCGAATTGTTTTAAATTGCTCATAATAAGTTACGTTCCCGGTTGATTTACATTTTCGATAGATTTTATTTTTTTAATTTAATTTCCCGATTATATTTCCTGAAAACCATGCTCGATATAAAGAGTTTTTGATAATTTTTTTAGGAACATGTTCTGAAAATATTTCATTTAATTTATTGTACAGATGCTCACACGCATTATCAACATTTTTTTGCAATATCAAGGAATGAACAATCTACTTTTGGCACATTTATACCTTAAATCAGACCATGTTAAAATATTTGGTCCCTTTATCTTTTAAGCCTGTCCATATCAAAATATTTGGTACCTTTACCAATTACGTATGTCCATGTAAAAATATTTGGGACGTTTACCCCTTAAGACGGCCCATGTAAAAATAATATTTAACTCTTGATCTTAATATCAAATTCAGATACAAGTACCCGTTCTGGAGTTCGTTAAAATTCAAGTAAAAATCATCATTAATTCACCATTCTGTATGTTATTCGCGTAATATCCACATTTATTTCAACTTATACCAATTATTTTCAATTATTACTTTCTGTGATTAGTCATGTTTATTTTACCATTGTTTAAATTTACCTGTGTATTACTGTTTTTCTTATGAAATAAACGTTATTGTTAATAATCACTCAACTAAAATCTTTTATAAATAATTTAAAAAGCTTTAAATAATTCATTTGACGTTTAAGAATGACAGCTATATAGAAAAAATCTCTGTGGTTTTACAGTTGACATAAGAAAACTGCAAGTCGTCCAGGCTTTTTGTTCTAGAGTTATCGTGTCGGTGCGAATACAGACGATCAGATTTTTTTTGCGTTTTCGGGTTTAGAGTGGTCGGAAACGTGGAGAAAAGTGTGTAAGGGGTCTTGGTAATTAATTTTAAATTAAAATATTTGAGAAGGAAAATTATATGAAATCAGTAATTTTTAATCTATTCTCTTACCACATATAAATTTTTCCAGTGCAGCCCCCATTCTCGAAGAACTGTTGTAATTTCCCTGGTGATTGGAGGTTCTTTTAAAATGGGACCCAAAGAATCCACTTTATCGCAATGTTTCACGTGTATGTATTTTTTGGGAAAAATACCTTTAACATCTCTATTACTAATAATGTATCCATAATACCAGTCTGACTCCTCTTCCAAAATGTGAACGGCATCACCTACCGTCAGTTTTAACTTGTAATCGTCCTCACACATAAAATTGTAAATAGCTAGAAAAGAAATGACACAATTTACACTTTTAATAAATTTAAATGTTAAAACATAAATCAAAAGCTTATCAAACGCTAATTCTCATAAATATCACCATTGGCGTAACTGTGGAGGGGTCAGGGGGGCCTGGCCCCTCCTGATGTACCTCTGCCCCCCTGAAAGATTTATATAAAAATCGGCGTATCAAAAAAACGTAGTAGGTGAATTTATTTATATTTATTCAAATTAATTTCCAATAAATTGGAAGAGCTTAATCTTAGCGACTTACAGATGGTAGGTCAATCCTACAACGGAGCTGCGGTGATATCGGGTAATATAAATGGTCTTCAAGCAAATAGCTAGACAATTATCCAACTGCAATTTACACGCACTGCTTAGCTTATAGACTAACTTGGCTGTAGTACACTCAAAAATGTTCCATCAATATCGACATTTTTTTGTACTTTGGAAGCAATTTACGAACATTTCTCAGATCCACAGAACCATGCCAAATACAAACAAATATTAAAAGACCTCAATATTATCCCCAGAGAGATGAAAAATCTGTCCGATACTGTCTTGTCTTGTCGATATACGACTTGCCACGCTGTTAAAACATGTTTCGAGGGAATTGTCAATGCTTTGGAAAACGAAGTTTCTAATAAAAATGATAAACAATCACAGCAATCGGCATATTATCCAGCATTAAACAACCTTCATTCATAATTCATCTTTTTGTATTAGAGGGGATACTAAATATCTTAAATTTGTTATCGAAAAGCCTTCAAGAGAAAGGTGCAACTCTGGGTAAAGCAATTAACGTTATTAAAAGCATCATTAATTCACTAGATGAAATGAGAAACGAAAAATACTATACTTGACCTTCATCTAAAAATTTCGGACTTTGCCGAAAAATATCAAGTATCATTGGAAATTCCCTCATCAAAACGAAAAAAACAAGTCAGTAGCAAGCTCGCTGATTTCGTCACCGAAACAACTATAGGACTAGGTTTGATAGACGTCAAAGGTTCTAGAGCTAATATTGGAGTAATTGAGTATTGGAGGGCAAACATTTTCTACCAAATTATTGATACTGTAAAAGGGTTTCTAAACAAAAGGTTCTCATCAGAAAGTATGGTGCTTGCCAATTCTGTGGATAATTTTTTTCAGTTAGATTTTGAGGGTTCAGCGGAATTCATTGAGCAATACCGTGAAATTTTTAATATTAACACTTCTATCTAAAGGGCAGAAATTACCGTTTTAAAAAACTGTTGGTTATTATTCTAAACACATAACAGAATCAGAAAAAACATACCAAAACGTCTATCAACTTTTTAATGTTGCGATTATTCTACCTATTTCAAGTGCGACGTGCGAGAAGTCGTTCTCTGCCATGAGGAGGATTTTTAATTGGTTGAGAACGACCATGACTCAAGACAGACATTCAGATTTGTCTTTGTTGTTCATAGAAAAAGATGTTGATATCGACTTGGACGGTGTAGATTCTTTCAGTCAATAGCGTAGAAAACTAAGTTATTAAATGTATTAGTTATATTGAAATATTAAAACCACTATTCACTATTACAGCGCATTTTTTACCATTCATTGCACCGCAATTTAAAAAAATATATATTTTAATTCAAGGTACACCTGGGGCCTCGGCCCTCCCTGAAACTGAGGTTAGCTACACGGATGAGTATCACGTTGGTAAACATTTGTAAACTTAATCAAGTCCTAAATTATTTCTGAACTGTGTATACTGTAAATAATGTAACAATATTTTTTTATAGGAAATAATTCCAAAGAAATTATAAATTTAGAAAATAATTCAACTTCTATGAAAGTATCCTTTCTCAGTAATACATAAATAAGTATTAATAGTTCTTTAACAAAATTTCCCCTTTTCAGTCAAAAGAAAATAATTTTTATTCACCACATTGGCATATTACATAGTAAATGGTTTTCCAAAAGGTGCAGGTGATAATTTAAGACATTGTGAAGCACTGTCAGATCAGCTAAATTAATAATATAATAATAAACTAATAATAATAAACTTTATTTGCAACTTCATTTTTTTTATACAGATATAAAATATGAGAAAAAGAAAACATGTGCCAAAGAAGGCTGCAAAAAGGACTGGTGAACAGTAGAGACTGATCAAAGCATCAGCACTGAAATATGTCCAACGCCACAAAACATCGTACAAGAACAATATATATAAACAAATATGATTTTTATTAACAAAATATAAACATTCTCAAATGTAGGTAGCTATTACTTTGCTGTATCAAGTAGAAACTTTTTATAAGATTTTTTGAAATTTTTTACAGACATTTCTTTAAAATGTTTTGGGATATCATTGTACAAAGCGTAAATGTTATAGGTGAAAGACCGTCTGAAAATAGCAGTATTATGTATTGGAGGTGAGATATGACCACAAAAACGTAGATTTAGATTATGAACATCAGAACGATACCTTATTTTATTAAAAAGATATGGAGGAGATTTATTTAAAATAATAGAATAAAACAGATTTACCGAGTGTAAGACTCGTCTAGATTTCATATCTAGCCAGTTTGAATTCTTGTGTTTATGTGAGACTGTCTAATTTCCGTATTCCATATGAAAATTTTAAACAAGATTTCTGTACTCTCTGAATTCTAGTTAAGTCTGCGCTATCTAAACAGGGCCCATACACTGTATCACAAAAGTTAAAATTACTCAGAACCAGGGAATCTGTTAATAATATTTTTGTTGAAGTTGAAAGAATATGTCGATGTGGGTAAAGTATTTTTAGATTCATATAAGTTGTTTGAATGCACTTGTTAACGTGAAGTTTAAACCTCAAGTCATTATCAATTACTAAACCTAAGTTGCGAGCAGATGAGGAAAATAATATATTCCCATCAATTAGAATCTGCATTTCATTCTGTAGTTATGTCGGTATTTACCAAATAACATTACCACACTTGTAGAAGAATTAATATTAAGTTGATGAATATTTGAAAGTCTAACTAGTCTGTCAAGATCTTCATTAATATGATTACTTGTTTCTAAAGCATTATTATGATCGAAAGGAAATTTAATTTGAGTATCATTTGCATAAAAGAATGGTTTAACATTCTTAATGCTATTCCCAAAGTTAGAGGTATATAGTGAAAATAATAAAGGCCCAAGTATTGATCCCTGAGGAACTTCACAGAAAATCTGCTTAGTATTTGATGAACCTGCATCAGCAACTACAAATTGCTTCCTGTTATCAAGGTAGCTATTAAATAGTCTAATTAGAGCAACCAATAAAATGTAATATTGAGAGTAAAAAAATTGTACAATTAATAGTATCAAATGCTTTGGAATAATCTAGCATAACAAGTGCTGCTGTTTTTTTAGCATCAATGTCTCTGAAGAGATCATCAGTGACATCAAGTAGAGCTGTAGTACAACTATAGCCAGAACGAAAACCTGACTGTCGCAGTGGAAGTATTTCATTATTTTCTAAGTGAATATTTAATTTCATGATTTTTTCAATTACTTTGGATAACACTGACAGGATAGAGATGGGACGCAAATCGTTCACACTCATTACGTTCTTCTTCTTCTTCTTCTTCTTGGGCAAAGGAAAGACTTTTGATAACTTCCAAGATTGCGAAAAAATGCAATCAGTGAGGCAAATATTTATGATATGTGTAATTATAGGTAAAATTTCAGGACAGCAAAGAAGTAGCATGTGAATATTTAACTTTTATCTGCTCCAGAAGCTACAGACTTTATAATAATAATAATTGTCATTTATTGAACTGAAAATTCAGTCAAATAGGTTATCGACCAAAGTCCTTCTGCCTCACAGACTTTATTTTGATCAAATACTTATATACAACTGTTGTACTGACAACACTGAAGGAAAATATAGAACGTAAATCATCCTTTCGGTTATTACTATAGAATTCAATTAAATCAGTGTTTGGTTCTTTAATACGTGTCGACGGACCTAAAAAATGATTATTAATTTCATCTGGATTATTGAGGTTAACAGGAATCAAATTATTGGAATATTTCCCAGGTATATTAAATTCTTTAATTTTATTCCAAAAAAAAAAAATATTACCTTTTGACATTTATACAGTATTCTAGATAAGCCTTTTTCTCATTTCTTATAACATAAGTTGTAATTTTTTTTTGAGTTTTTATAATAATCCCAATACTGCGGGTTTTTAGTACATTTAAATTTGTTAAATGCTTTATCTCTAAGCTTAATCATCAATTTAACATTATCAGTTAACCAAGGTGGATTAGGTTTTTTAAATTTAATAGAATGAACTGAGGCTAAAGTATCAAAAATATTTAATAAAGTGCTATTAAGAAACTCAACCTTATCATCAATGTTATCAAAACTAATAATATTTTCAAAAGGGGTAAATAGCAGCATTTCTTTTAAAATATCACGATTTATGTTTTTTTAAATTTCTCGACTGGAATTCTTTGGGAGGATCCGAGATATTAAATACTTCCTTTACACCAATGTCAACAGGATCAAACTGGCTATGTATGACTATCACATCCAATAGAGTAGAACTATTTTTAATGACCCTCGTCAGCTCGTTAATAATTTGTTTGAGATTAAATAATTCTAACCATAGAAAAATCATTACTACCAAGTATTGATTTTTTTTTTAATTTGTTGAACTGCTAGATCAACGTTTATGTCACCACCGCATATTATGTCATTACATGAAGGTATTAATATGAAAGATTTTCTTCTAGATTCGCAAAAAACTGTTGGTTGTTTTTCTTTGGTGGCTTGTAAAAAAGACCAAAAATATATAAACAATGATTCATTTTAATTTGAATCCATAGCTGTTCCACACATTCATGTTCCTTTACCGTCAGTAACTGATAATTAATCGTACATTTAATAAAAAATCCTACCCCGTCTCCTCTGATGTTACCCTGAGGTATGCAAGATTTGATGGAATATAGTTAGAGATAAAAGAAACGTTTGCTAAAATAGGATTTCAGAATT